TGTAACTACACTTAGGTAATTGCACACGCGCACGCACGCATGCACACACACACATAATAGTATGTGTGGAGGCTGACTCCATACACGTTTTCAAGTGTAGATATGATAGAGCCCAATAGGCTCAGGAACCTGTACATTAGTTGATTGACAGTTGAGAGGCGGGACCAAAGAGCCAGAGCTCAACCCCCGCAAGAACAACTAGGTAAGAACACACACATAGATAACCACGATACTCCTTATCAGTATCACCCATCATGCCGGTTACATATACTATCAAAGCCTAATTGGTCTGCTCATTATATAACATTAATAAAAAGAGGAACAGGATGGCGGAGCGACAAAGAAAGACGTAGAAGAATAGTGGCAACAGAAGGAACACACAGAAGAATCTGAGTTTTTAATTAACCAGTGTATAAACAAAAACTATGCTTCATTACGAATGCCATTGACGTTTCTCGTGGAGGTTAAGAGCTGTTATCCACCATCAACTAATCTGAAGCATGGTCCAGTAAACTCATAATTCGTGAGCTTACTATTGATTTCCATTGTTATTGCAACGTTACAGTCGTGTTATTTTCTGGATGATACTGGAGCCAACCGTATAACAGCCTTCATATAGTCGGGTGATTGGACTTGACCTGTATCTACTAACAACTTTCAGGTACGCGTCAGCCTAGGAATATATATGTTGACACTGTAACAGCCAGCATGAGGCTGTTAATAGCCGAGCGCCTTCAGATGCGGTTCTCAACTACGAAGTTTGGTCTGCGGGAAATTATGAAGACATTTGTGCTATATATAACAGTAAGATTACCAACGTCTTTATGGTGCTGAACGCTCATGTACTGTACAGTCCGACATGAACTGGACAAGACTGGAGACTGAGTGGAACGCACTGAAGATATGAGCATACTGGTGCTTCTATAAGGTTTTACAACCTCTGCTGTCGAGGAGGTATGAAATACATTTTAGGACTGTAAATTTCTTGGCTGCCTTGTTTGCTAGATTCAACACGTGTCCTTATTGGGTCAATTAAGAGTCAAAATTCACTTCAAAAATTTTAACTTCACCGAACACTAGATTTTTCCACCCAACTATATGTCTTTCTCAGGTTCAAAGTGATGCACTCTAGTTATGATCATAGTCTGTGTGCTGTGTGCCGTAAAGGTAACCTGCCACCGTCGACCCCAGGAAGAAAGTGCCTCAAGGTGTAATTAATGATCCTCGTAGCAATCGGCATTTCTTGTCTTGCACATATAAAGGTTAGAGAACAGTTATCTGCCTAGGCTAGATGTTGAGGAATGAGGCGCAGTAGACTGTTAAAGTAGACATTTCAAAACAAAAGGCCAAACATACTTCCCAGTGGTACACTAACTTTAATTTAGTGACTTTTAAATTTAGCTTCCCGGGGACCACACGTCAAGTCCGTTCTTGAGGTAGTGTCTTAATAGCTGTAAGATGGAGCTGAGATACCTAATGCTTAAAGCTTCGCAAGTAGACCAAGGTGATATATCTGATCAAAGGTACTGCAATGTCCAGTGACATTGTTTCATTGTTTGTTTTCATTGTTTCGTTGACATTGCCATCCAGTGGCAACACACTCGCCTGTTTCTCTTTTCTGTCTCATGTTAGCAGACTTAGAGATTTAAAGCCTAATCCTACAAGATTTTACCTGAACTACGACTAGTCAATCAATTTACGACCAGATCCGCATTGGCTGCTAGGTGACCAGAGGCGAACATCAAAAGATTGGTCCCAGTCACCCCCCCCCCTCCCCACCCACAACCACCTCTAAGATGATATGGGTCGCGTATGTGTGTGTACTCACCTAGTTGTGCTTGAGGGGGTTGAGCTGCGGCTCTTTGTGTGCGTAACCACCCGACCAACTACTATCACCAACCTTTATGGTCGACCGACTTTACTGAACGCGTCTCTCACCTCCCGGACACCACAAGTGAAATTTACTCGCCTAACTGGTACAAAAGGTGAGGGCAACTAGGAGCATCTTCCACCCCCTGGTATATACAACGAGGCTTGGAGCTGTCCACCTCCCGTGGTATATATGACGATCTTAGGACCTCTCCACAGGAACTGGAATATATAACTGGATCTGGAAGCATCTACTGCCTCTGATACATACCACGTAATAATACACTGCCCCAAGTATATATATGTACACTATATATATATATATATATATATATATATATATATATATATATATATATATATATATATATATATATATATATGCAGAATAACCACATGTGAAAAATAGAAAATGCTTAACGCGTTTTCGGCTAATTCGCCTTCATCAGAGCAAAGTAGAATGAAGATAAGATTGCTGATCAGACCTTTATATCCGCCTGGGCAGATCACCTGACCACCAAAAATAAGTGGAGGAAAGGAATTATAAGAAAGAAGGTAACTGAAGAAGCCTATTGGCCCATACGAGGGTAGGTAGGGTAGAGTACACCAGGGTAGTGTACACCAGGGTAGTGTACACCAGGGTAGTGTACACCAGGGTAGTGTACACCAGGGTAGTGTACACCAGGGTAGTGTACACCAGGGTAGTGTACACCAGGGTAGTGTACACCAGGGTAGTGTACCCCAGGGTAGTGTACACCAGGGTAGTGTACACCAGGGTAGTGTACCCCAGGGTAGTGTACACCAGGGTAGTGTACCCCAGGGTAGTGTACACCAGGATATACTAATCACATAAGTAGTTCATAACACGCACTGTGTAACCCTTCAAATAGTCTAAGAAAGGTGAATAAATGACCAAGTATCTAAGTATGTTAATAATAATAATAATACAAATTACAAAAGATGATGTGAAGTAGCGACACGGGTGACGCGAGGCCCGGCAGCGCGAGTCAGCCCGGCAGCAGTGAGGCTGCGTGATAAACAAACACAGCTGTACACGTTTATCATGATAAAGTAACAGTAGGAACCGATAACAAATGCTCGCTAACCCAGCCGCCGAACTCCTAATTTATGAATAAACAAAATTTTCACATGATTGGTAGCTAACTACGTACGAACTTTTCTCCAACAGTGCTATCTTTCTGCGTTAAATCGCACCTCACTAAATGTATCACCCACATACTGCAAACATGAGTATTTACTACCACAACCAGAACACCTAACTTAACCTATAACAGGCCTAACTATACAAAAATTATTATATACAATAATTATAATTTATTTTCTATAAAATACCATTTTTAGATACGTTAAAATTGACTAATGTACAAATGTTATTGTGATTTCTGTGTGTATATTGACTAATGTCTTTGTGGATCGGCGGCAGCTTGGACGAGCACACCCTGAGGAACGGGATGGCAGGAGAAAAAAGATGGCGACTAATTAAAATTAATCAGATGAGTGGCTATGTGCGTAGTGCAGTTATAGCAAACAGATGTTGCGTGAGCGTCTCGGGTGACGCTGTGCCAGAGGAGCACCAGTCAGTATACTGGAGCGCTTGTCTTGGAAGTCATGTTGATTTGCAGGACGAGAGTTGACGACCTCTCCAGAAGCTGTGCAATGTTGCAAACGACGGTGGTGGTGTCAAGGGAATGTGACACCGCTTTCCTACAAACGTAGCAGTTAGGCGGTGCCAAATATAAAGGAAGATGATGCCAAGAATTAAGAAATATGGAGGCAATTGGAGAAAAGTTGTGTAAAGAAGACAAAGTGTGGGATGTCATTATGAGAACGGTGATGTCCAGGGGAAGGAAACTGGTGCCAAGGGTAAAAGGATCAAATTCCAAGCTATAGAATTGAGGTGGTGCCAGGAGGAGCACCACCTCAATGGTGAGGCAAGACTTACCATCACATCTATGTTCTCTTTGTTTCTTTCTTACAATCTTATCCATCACCTTGCATGGTATGCAAGTTATCGACACTGGCATTCTCTTCCTATTTTCTGTATTGGAACTTCATTGGTTTTAGCTGTATGTTTAAAGGGGGGGGGGTGGAGGTTTTATAAATTCACCTGGTTACTTAGATGTACTCACCTGCTTACCTAGATGTACTCACCTGGTTACCTAGATGTACTCATCTAGTTATCGACATGTGCTTGCAAGGAAGAGCTCGGCTCCTAACACTCCCCCCCCCTCCCTTTCTGAACGTTCGTAATTCATTGCAATGTCTCAGGTTCTGAAATTTTCTTACATTTACCACCGAGTTGACTTCGTCAACGTCTTCGTCTGAAGCATTCCATTTAATCACGGCTTTAACGTCGAAGAAATGTTTTCTGACGTCTCTGTGACTCATTTCAGTCCCTGGTTTCCATCAATGTTTACTCGTTCTGCTGAGCCTATCTTCGTCCATTTGAATGATTCTCCTCGGAATCTCAAATGCTGTTATCATGTCTTGCATATTGCGGTCCCCGTGGCGCTATGGTAAAGCACTCGCCAGGCGCTCTGCGAGCACTTTGGCTTTGGTTAGTATCCTGGCCGGGAAGGAGTGACTGGGCGCCAATCTTTAACTGAAGCCTCTGTTCACCCAGCAGTGAATGGGTACCTGGTTGTTAAACGATTTGGCGGGTCGTATTCCTGAGAAAAATTAGGATTAAGGACCTGCACGAAACGCTATACTTGCTAGTTGCTTTACAAGAATGTAAGAACTCTTGTATATATAAATAAAAAAAAAATATATATATATATTCTTCCTCTTCTCCAGTGGTGAAGTCCAGTTTCCTTAGTCGTTCCTCATAGCTCAAGCCAATTAGCTCAGGAACTAACCTTGATGCATATATTTGGATCTTTTCAAGTTTTAACTTGTCCTTTGTCAGGTGAGGGTTGCAACCCGTGACTGTTGTATCAGGCCAGAAAGGCTCACTTGTCCAGGTTTCTGAAGGTTACACGAAGGACGGTCAGTTTGAGAGATGCTACTGATATTATTCAGGTAATGTGTTCTTTTGGGAGAAAATTTGGGGATTGTCAATAACCAATAACTACCCCAACCCAACAGTGACAATTAAAATACTTTATTTGTTAATATTATTTATTTCAATATGAAAAAGTTGTTTCCTGCTTTACATGAGATCACGATATGTACACCTAAAAAGAATATTTATAAAATTTACAAAAATACATACTCTTGACACGTACACAAATATGTACAGAAACTCGCGCAACTTTCATGGACTTTATAGAGGCAGAGCTAGAACCACATGCCTCTTGATTTCTTCATTGGCAAGAGGCAGGGCTAACAAACCTGCCACTTGAACTCTTCAGAGATAGAGGCAGGGAGGAAGCAGAGCTGGCCCGCCTGCCACTTGAACTCTTCACAGATAGAGGCAGGGAGGAAGCAGAGCTGGCCCGCCTGCCTCTTGAACTCTTCAGAGATAGAGGCAGGGAGGAAGCAGAGCTGGCCCGCCTGCCTCTTGAACTCTTCAGAGATAGAGGCAGGGAGGAAGCAGAGCTGGCCCGCCTGCCTCTTGAACTCTTCAGAGATAGAGGCAGGGAGGAAGCAGAGCTGGCCCGCCTGCCACTTGAACTCTTCACAGATAGAGGCAGGGAGGAAGCAGAGCTGGCCCGCCTGCCTCTTGAACTCTTCACAGATAGAGGCAGGGAGGAGGCAGAGCTGGCCCGCCTGCCTCTTGAACTCTTCACAGATAGAGGCAGGGAGGAGGCAGAGCTGGCCCGCCTGCCTCTTGAACTAGTTGACGGTGCCTGGTCCCACATTTATCACGGTAACTGGTGACTAGCAGCAGTTCAGTATAAATAACACCATACACACGACCTTACAGCTATTTACACTCGTATACACAGCAAATAACTTAAGTCTGAGACGACGTCAGTGAGGCAGTAACCTGGGGAGTGGCTGACATTACTGAAGAAGGCTGGGGGGGGGGGACATTATATAACCTAATTTGTTTTAAAGAACTTGGCCTCTTGTCACGGAGGGAGAGGGGGGGAGGGGTGCCTGCCGTGTTCAATATTACAATTAGACTGAGTCATTAGACACTGGCAACGACAATGGTTCAGCCACAGTCTTGTGCTTCAGCTATCACTGAGGTAAGCACTCACTTATTCAAATATAAATTAACTTGGGAGCTCACGTCTTTCTTCCTCAACTCAACACCTTAACCATACAATAAGGAACTGTTTACTTTGGGAATGACTTGTAGAAATAATCCAGATAATTTGTTAATTCCTAATTAATTGTAATATGCTAAGGTGTGCCGGCTGGAACTGTGAAGCCGATGTGCTTGCAGCCAGTCTGCATGTTGAGGCAGAAGAGTTTCTCCAAGGTGGCCGTCTTGATGATGTTGAAGCCTTCCTCGCCGCCGAAGGTTGAGGGTTTCCAGTACCGTGGAGAGCAGATGGGGTTGGCCAGGAGGCCCTTCACACTCCAGGGTCCACCCATATTCACCATGGTCAGGGGCGTCACTGAGGGTCCGGGGCGCTCTGCTAGTAGACCTGAAAATAGAGAACGCAGTTAGCAAGCGTCCGAAGGCTTTAAAAACCAGTGTATATGTCGCCAGTTTCAGAAGTAAATGTCCTATTTGTATTATTTCCAAAATGAGGTACAAGCTATGTCTCATAAATGTTATATACCATTATTTGCTCGTATGTTTGAATAATGATAACCTTTGACAACTCACCGATATAATATTCTACTGCATCAATGTCCACGTACATCTCCTCCAGGATCGCAGCCAGCTCGGTATCTCCAGTCAGTTCCTGGAAACTTGTGAAAGGCTTCATCTCAAACCTCTTCCTGTAGGCGTTAAGTCCCTGGAACCGCAGCTCTCGACCATTTTCTATAACCTTCTTCAGGACTGGGTACAGCACATGAGCGTGATTCCTTGTTGTCAGCTGCAGGGGGAAAAATACAATAAAAATATTTATTGCATAAAAGGCAAATCACAATACCAAGTTAATCCATATTATCTTCTAACTATACAGATGTCTAAAAATTTCTATCATTATTCCGACTCGTAATTATGAATTTCAGTTGTTTTCTAAATGATTCATGAGAGGATGTGTATGAGTGACTCACCGCTCCTGCTCGGGTGGTGATCATGCCGTGGATGAAGGCGTCCAGGCCGTGCTTGAATACCGGGGCCGTCGAGTACGCCATGTCCATGATGGCGTAGTCTGTTCCGTTCACCTGATCGATATATCAATACCATGTTAGACAAACAATACTATAATCTAACTAAAGCTCATAATAATATGAATATATATATATATATATATATATATATATATATATATATATATATATATATATATATATATATATATATATATATATATATGTGTGTGTGTGTGTGTGTAATTTATAATATCATTTAAATTAAATTAGATTGAAACACTTGTGTATCGGTATTAATTAAACAAAACTCCTAAACTCCTAGTGATCCATCTACCAATTTAAAACGATAATCATGTAAGGTTTAGCAAACTAATAAAGCCAAATTTTTTCAGAGTAGCTCAGTTCCCGTCAAAGCCTGAGTATGTTTCCCGAGTGTGTCAGCAGTACCCACCTGCAGCGTGTCGGGGATCAGTGGGTGCCAGTGGTACAAGTGGTTGAACTCGGCGTGGATGCGGTTATGGTACTGGAAGTTGGTGCCATGGGTCAGTTCCGGCTCGAAGCTCAGACGCAAGTTGTACTGGCTGAGGTGCTGGACGTAATCCTCAATGGTGATCTTTATTACCTCACCTGAGACACAGGAAGACGCAGGGTAAAGTACAGTACATGGCACGGGGACACAGACAGGTGCACTGTCCTTTGTTATTTATAACAATGAGAGCGCCTGGCAGCTTGACACCAAACAACAGTCTTCTTACAAAATGTTCGTGTGACACTCTTAAGAGGCACGCTTCAATATTATTTCATAACCAGATAATAAATATATATATATATACATAAGCAGGCAAGAAGTATATTAGATAAAACAATTGCTTGTGAAGAAGCTTACCAATGATAATAAGACGAGAAGTTTGGTAGAGGCGTTCGTCATCCCAATCTGGATGAAGTTTGAGGAGTTCTCCACACACCCGATTGTGCTCACGAACCCAGATGGTTGCATATGCCTGGAGGCGGGAAAAAAACAAAACATGACAACAGTGTCGATTTCAATATATGTATAAATTCAACCTTTCTTTTAAATGAGTCTTTTTCACCTAAGCATATGGCCACTGACGTACAGGATGACCAAACACAAATTTTACATCAGTTACTCTAAATACTTTACATTATGACAAGATGAATACTTACGAAGAGTCCGGGTAGGAGGGCATAGAATGGGTGTCCAAGGGCGAATTTAGCCTCCTCTGGGATGGGTACATTGGGAGGATAGTCCATGGTGATGCCGGGAACGTCCTTCAGGTAAGGCGGGAACTCCTCTCCGTTTATTATCTGAACATGACAAAAATCAGTTTAATAAACATTCATCCTAAACAGATTTAAAAAAAACATGGTCAGATATATTTTATATAATTTCAAAACTGTTCTGCATATCTCTAGCATGATTTATTTTAATTTTATTTTGTTAAAGAATTCTCAAAAGTTTCGCTCATAGTTTTGACTTAGAATAATATGTTTCTTTTGTGTTATATTTCATTACATAGAGGAGAAGATCAGGGCTACCAACCTGTGTGCGAAGCCTGCCATTGACACCGGACCTGAGCGCCTGGCGGTCCTGCTCCGTCAGCCCATAGATGTTAGACACGTCAACCTGAGTAGCAGAACAAATAATGTGTTGAACAACTATGCACTTTGAAATCAAATTTTTACATACAATCATAACAACTCTTGAGGAGAAAATGTTAATCAAGATTTTTGGTCAAAAGAAATGCAAGAAATGGTCAAGACTTTTTTCCCCTGGAATCTTACAAGAATATTTACCAGTCGCATGTTTATAAATAAAGCATTGACACAAATTGTGATAATGATTACTTACACCTCCAGATCCCTTGGTAAGGTGAGGTCCCTTTTTGTAGTCTGTCCTGAAGAACTGGTGCGTGAAGTGCTGAGCGTAGTACTGGAAGAGGACGTTGGTGTCGTGAGGCTCAGGTATGAACTCCCGCCTCATGAACACCTTCTTGATCAACTCGTCTACGTCGGGATATTCCTTAGGTCCTGAGGAAGTGATCAACGTGAGGAAGTTGTACATCATACATATAACGGCATCAGTCGCTATGAGCTTGAATTATCAAGTGTGGTGGTAAATGTATTTGACATATATATATATATATATATACTAGAGACAAAAATTCTCCTTACCTTTGACACCAAAAGGAGTTGGGCAGTGTGTAGGGACAGGAGGAAGGGCGCGACCATAGTAGCTCTCGTTGAAATAAGCATTGAGGGTGATGTAGGTGTGCTCGCTCTCGTAGGTGGGCGGTGAGTCTACCAGGTCCCCGCGAGCTGCAAGAGGCGTAGGTCAGTTATCGACAATCTTATAGAGTCTACCGCAAAAGGGCACCCCATCACAAACTCCATATATGACAAGAGGTAAGAAGAGTGTCTTCTGTATGAAGGTACAGATAATCAGTTCGTTCTAAAATACATTGAAATAGAAGAGCAACTTACAGGTGTAGACGTAGGTCATGAGTTGCTTATGAATGAATGGGATCCTGTTGAGGATGCCCCATAAGAGGCTCTTGGAGGTGATGAGGTTGTGAACGGTCTCTGGGTCAGGCTTCAGAGTCTTCTTCAACCAGGCCCGCCACGTCGCTGTTGGGAGACAAGGAAGTGAGATTAGGTTAGCCTGATCATCTTTACATTAAAACCAATGTACAAAAATTCTGGCGAAATATATTATTATAGGAATGGTAGCCTAGTATCCAATGTTCACACTCGCACAGAATATATCATTGCGCTTGGATTAAAACTATTTCAAGCAGGTATTGAAACATATGAATTTCTTGTATAACTTACGTATCTCACAGTGCGAGCCATAGTGTTCAGTGCCGGTACAGTCACAGGTGTAGTTGTGGGCCGGGAGGGTGAGACACACACCCAGGTTCTGGCAGGGGTACGAGCAGCACGGGTCATATTCTGCCAGGGAGGAGTTGAGAGAATATGGTTATACTCAACGGTAAACATCAGTAGCCCCTTGCAAAGTTCATCTACATTTTCTGCTCTATTGCCCTTTTTTTTCTAAATATATTGATATTTGTTTACATTTTTAATTGTATATTATTTTATACCATTTTATTGTTATGAGTATTTGATTTTGAAGACAAATTTATTATTTAAATATATTTCTGTTCCAGGCGTGGTATTAGCAGGTTCCAAGAGTGCCACCATCACAGTGCCTGGAATATCAAGACGAGGGAGACTGGCGTGCCAACACCACCGTGGATGATGAGACTCACCAAGAGGGGCTGGTACTGGCGTGACAGGAACAGTGTCTTGGGTTGGGCCGCGCATGAAGAGGAAGGAGGCTGCCAAGAACACTCCAGCGACGCCCACCAGCACACGTCCACCTCCTGCAGAAGGAAAACCTTGTTACACTCTACAACACGGAACAGCGCATACACACCAGGGTCAGTTTAGATGTAAACAAAAGATTGGTAAATACGGGTTTGGTAATAGGATTATAGATTTCAAGAAGGAATTATTAGGTAACATAATACACATTGGGGTCGCTGGATTGTATAACATGTAGGTTTTGACCTAAATATCAATGAATGTGGTTTGATTTCAACAGAAGCTGCCTCGTGTAGGGCACTATCTAGACCTTCTGCAGTTTCACATGTTCTGGTATTCTAATTTTGTAAACATTGCGTCAATTAACTTATTTGCCAAGTAAGTTTATTTATAATTTTTTTATATGAAATATAAAATATCACCTAAACAAATATACATGTTTAAAAAAATACAAATGTAATTCTTTGCTGAAGAGAGTATGAAAATGTTATAATTTACTCTACCATTCTCTTGTTCATTAACAAATCTTACGATGTTCAAACATGCAAGATCGGCATCAAGGGGGAGGGGTGTAGTACACAATTATATATATATATATATATATATATATATATATATATATATATATATATATATATATATATATATATATATATATATATATATATATATATATATATTTAATAGAGAAACATTGGATGATACATTAGTGTTGGCGTGAAATGTTATAGTGTAGGGGGCCACAAACACGCTGCAGAGGGTTACATGTGATCCACCTCTCCCTCAGCTGGTGAGCTCAGAAGCCAGCTGGTGAGCTCAGAAGCCAGCTGGGGAGTTCAGCTGCCAGTTGGTGTCTCATAATATGCTCCATCTCCCCCTCCCTAGTTGTGTTACGCGCATGTGTGCTAGTGTATTCCGCTATACCAGTGCCTCACTCCATTAACATTATAACAATTTCAGTATATAGCTAAAATAGTCATTTCAATTTCAACTTTAAAGTACAAATTGCATAATATCAAGAATGTGTAGCCTAATGTTTCTAATTTTAATAAGAAATCATTATTATTACTAAGGGTAATCCTTCGAGGCCAATGACCCTCTCTCTCTCTCTCTCCTTCTCTCCTAACATGCCTTTGGTCTCCATTACCCCTTAGGACTGCCCCCCCCCCACCCTAGATCCCATCATGGCCCCCAGAACCCTCTTAGTCGTCCAGGCACCAAAGCATCAAGGCCACTTGCTGAGCATTCATGGTTTCATTTACCTAAGTAATTCTTCCAGTAAAACCTTCAGAAGTGTCATGTTTGTGAGGTGTGCGTAGGTTACCTCTCTGCGCCTATTATAAGTGGGATCTGGGCCCCACCTCCTAGCTATTAATATGTAGGTATGTGTCTGTGTGTGGTCGTGTAGTGTATAAACCTATATAGCCTTCCATGAGTAGGAAAAATATATGTCGAGAGATTCGAGGATCAAATGATAAAGAGCGGTGAAGCACATGGACAACTTGTATAAAGGGAGAAACCCAAGGGTGCTGGCTGGCTGTGTGCGTCGGTGGTGCGTTGGGAATACCAACCCTCGCGCCACGGTGAAGGACGCCCTGATGGGGCAGGTGTGGGACCATCCACACATGGGGCACTGTGGTAGAGCAGGTGTGGGACCAACCACACATGGGGCACCGTGGTAGAGCAGGTGTGGGACCAACCACACATGTTATACACTTAAAGATGGAGGCAAGACAGCTTCTGTGTTGGGGGAAGAACTTAGCTACAGTATGTCTGATAGCTGAAAAATTTGTAGATTGAATGTTGATGAAGTGACAGACTGTTTGTGGTTGTAGCAAAGATGTTGACCATGTCTCAACTGGGGCCCCCCTTGACCCTCGGGGGCCCCCCCTGACCCCCTGAGCCCCCTCTGACCCTCTTGGGCCTCTCTGACCTTCGGGGGCCTCTAACCCTCTGGGAAAGACAACCTTCATTATGTCTTTTGTATGCATCCAGGGATCAGTCACTAAGCGGACGTGTGTGTGTGTGTGTGCTGGAGGTGAAAAAAGGGAGGTGGTGGGGGCTGGTCCTCTCTTCTCTCTCATCTTCTCTGCTCTCACGGCTATTTTCACAATCACTGTCTTCTACCATATTCCGCACTTAGCTCGCGACGCTCACTATCGCGGGGACATGTTTGCTGTAGTTAACTCTCTCTGTGAACTCCCATCCGTGGCGTGATCCTCCCTGGCCTCAAGGCCATGTACTACGTGCGACTTACGGCTGTGTATGTGTGCTGAGACTGTGTGCTGTCATCCTCTCACCTTCCCAGCACGCGCATCGTTTTAACACCGTAAAACTAACGTTGTGGCTACCTTGTGTGTTTGATGGGATTCTTGCCTGTCTCCTTACTTTGGAAATAAACTCAACTTTTCATATCAGATTCAACGTATTCAAGAGAAACTTACGGCTGGCTGAATTAATAAACTTACTTTTGAATGTAAAATAAAGTAATTCTGATATAAAGCTATCACATTTATGTGATAGTTTTATCTACTCCAAAAAGGGAGTAGACTTATTTGTAGATAGTCTACGAGTACTATTGCTTGGCTTGTACGAAAAGGTTTGAGAAAACACCTATAGCGGTACGCTAGTTAGGCTGTATTATTATGACTACTCCTGTGTTTCTCTACATCCTAATGACCACTTTCTACTTTCCTCAACCTTCCGTTGTTACATTATTGATAAAGATTCCCTGGATAACTGAGAGACTGAGTGGCTGACTGGACATGTAAATGGTAGTCTGAGTGGTTGACTAAATCTGTCTTACAGTATGGCTATACCAGCCCACAAGATATTTCTTTATTTCTTTTAATAGGCCTACATCGGCCCTCTAAATCTTTCCTTATATTAGGTTTATAGTGACTGACTAAATCAGTCTTACAATAGGCCTATAGGGTAGCACACGATAAGGCAATGCATAAACTATGTAGAGTTGTGTAATGTAGGGAGGGTAGGGATTAGGGGGGGGGGGAAGCGATTGAATGCTAGGCTACACCTCATTATTGAAAGGAAGTGCGTGTGTGTGTGTGTGTGTGTGTGTGTGTGTGTGTGTGTGTGTGTGTGTGTGTGTGTGTGTGCGTGCGTGGTGTGTTTGTAATTACCTAAGTGATTACACACACACACACACACACACACACACTGGTGTGTGTACTTTTCACGAAGAGCCTGTGAGGATTATCGAAGTCCCCCCCCCCCCCACTACCTAGGCCAAATACTGACCTTCCCGAGGATGCAATCCACAACAGTTGCCTAACTCCCGGGTATCTGTTTAACTGTTAAACACACCTGGGTCCCCGGGTGTGAGCGGAGGACCTAGACCACTCTGCTATAAGACCACCCTGTAACTAACTACGGTACTATAACTAACAACTATCCGTCTAACTTCACACACACACAAAAATTAGTCAATTCGTTCACAAGAACTGTAAATTTTCAGCTGAATGACCATTGGAATCCTGGGGCAGGTTTCATCAAATATTTACGTGTCTACATACGAAACCTGTAAATCTTTCCTTAGTTATAGCGGCTTAGTCCGCATTTATTAAAATTTATGAGGTTTTTGAAGCTTTACAACGTAGCGCTTCAGAACCTGTAAACTGTCAAAGATGCAAACTTAGTTGCTGTGATATAGGAAAGATGTAAAGGTTTCGTAAGGAGACACTTAAGTGCTAGATGATTTCTGGTTCTGACTAGTCTTGAGCCTATAAGGTGGGGAGAGCTTACATGTGACGGGGCCATCAGGAGGCCTGCTATGCATACTAAGGTCTCTCTACGACCCCACCATGCAACCCACAACAGCTTACTAACTCCTGGGCACCTCTCAACTACTAGGTGACTTGTATGGAAGGAAACGTGCCCAAACGTTCAGTAATAGTTTCCACTGTCAGCAACTGTCAGCATCAGCTGCGACAGTCAGCATCAGCTGCTACAGTCAGCATCAGCTGCTACAGTCAGCATCAGCTGCGACAGTCAGCATCAGCTGCAACAGTCAGCATCAGCTGGTACAGTCAGCATCAGCTGCTACAGTCAGCATCAGCTGGTACAGTCAGCATCAGCTGGTACAGTCAGCATCAGCTGTGACAGTCAGCATCAGCTGCTACAGTCAGCATCAGCTGTGACAGTCAGCATCAGCTGCTACAGTCAGCATCAGCTGCTACAGTCAGCATCAGCTGCTACAGTCAGCATCAGCTGTGACAGTCAGCATCAGCTGCTACAGTCAGCATCAGCTGGTACAGTCAGCATCAGCTGCGACAGTCAGCATCAGCTGGTACAGTCAGCATCAGCTGCTACAGTCAGCATCAGCTGCTACAGTCAGCATCAGCTGCTACAGTCAGCATCAGCTGGTACAGTCAGCATGACAGCAGGGGGCCTCCAAGCACCAACACTCACCCTTGTCTCCGTGATCAGCCGCCGTCTCCATCTTCACCATCTGAAGTCGAGCCGCAGTAGCACCCAATCCGTACTTAAAAAAAATATTCGTCACAAGCTCACGCACTGTTTCTTAGTTCAGTTTATCTGTTTTCTGAAAGCCTTCACTCAAGTTCAACGGGTTTCAAGCGACAGGAGGAAGGAGCTGCGGTAAGAGGAAGGCACTGTACAAGCGCGCGTGTTGCCTCTGACGGCGCCGAGTGAACTCTGCCGGTAGATTTGCTGCCGTCCGCTTATATACCCGGGTCGACTCACGGAGGCGTGGAAGCCTTTGCGTAAACGGACGCCCCCGGAGTTGTGTGTGTGGGGGGGCACGGGGGAGAGGCGGTCCTGTCACCCTACTTGGGAGCTCCCGCCTGTTGCATGGGGGGGGGGGAAGCTACGGAATGGGTTCCCAGGAACGCCAACGGAATAGGACATCCTGTTTAAGCTAATCGCTCGGGTTTTTGCCTCTGTCTATAGAGAGGACCGTTATAGGAACTATTTAGTTTTGAGGGATCACACTATCTTGTAGAATGTTACCCCATCTTTAGGGACCAACTTATCTCTGTAAATCACGCTATCTTTGGGTTTAACCTGATCTTTACTGATCTCCTTTGCCTTGGGGACCACACTCTATCTTTGGGGCGACCCTATCTTTGGGGCGACCCTATCTTTGGGGCCACCCTATCTTTGGGGACCACACCCTGACGTTGGGGATCACTCTAGCCTTGGAGACAGTCCTATCTCCAGGACAACTCTCCCTGAAGAAACTATCCAACCTTAGCACACCCTGGGTCAGTTACCTTAGCACACCCTTGGCCAGTTACCTTAGCACACCCTGGGCCAGTTACCTTAGCACACCCTGGGCCAGTTACCTTAGCACACCCTGGGCCAGTTACCTTAGCACACCCTGGGCCAGGATTCGACTAACACTTACGTTGTTCGCTTACGAAAGGTGTTCATCTTTCTTAAATAATGGCGGCTGAGTTTCCATTTATTAAGCAGTTTACGAGCTCGTACGCGCTACGAGGTTTAATTTTTTTTTTAAATTTTGCCCAGAGGGGCGAGTTTATTGGGCAGCGTCACTCATCTTGTGAGTGGACACACCGCCATAGTGACAGTATTGGGCAGCGTCACTCATCTTGTGAGTGGACACACCGCCATAGTGACAGTATTGGGCAGCGTCACTCATCTTGTGAGTGGACACACCGCCATAGTGACAGTATTGGGCAGCGTCACTCATCTTGTGAGTGGACACACCGCCATAGTGACAGTATTGGGCAGCGCCACTCATCCCGTGAGTGGACACACCGCCATAGTGACAGTATTGGGCAGCGCCACTCATCCTGTGAGTGGACACACCGCCATAGTGACAGTATTGGGCAGCGCCACTCATCCTGTGAGTGGACACACCGCCATAGTGACAGTATTGGGCAGCGCCACTCATCCTGTGAGTGGACACACCGCCATAGTGACAGTATTGGGCAGCGACACTCATCCTGTGAGTGGACACACCGCCATAGTGACAGTATTGGGCAGCGCCACTCATCCTGTGAGTGGACACACCGCCATAGTGACAGTATTGGGCAGCGCCACTCATCCTGTGAGTGGACACACCGCCATAGTGACAATATTGGGCAGCGCCACTCATCCTGTGAGTGGACACACCGCCATAGCAGCATGTACAACACTCCCCAATAGGAAGAAAACCCGCTGGGTTGTTCATCCTGTCACTTGTACCCAGACACAGCTGGGACTTGCTTAACTGTCTCAAGTGAACAGCTTATCAAACAAGAAGATTAACATTCTTCAACCATTAAAAGCTTACGTTATCTTGCGGGTGCAAAATGGGGGAATCTTTTAATAACAGTATCAATACTTGACAAATGAGGTTGTCAATGACAATAATGACTCGGGTCATGAACGACCTCGCAACATTTCCAAGCTCGTAAATTGCTTAACAAATACAAACTAAACTGTAATGTTTGAGGAAAGATGCACATGTTTCGTAAATGGACAAATGCTTGATGTTGAATCTTGGCCATGTTGCAGGTATTCGGGAGCTAATGTGTAACAACTATACACGAACTTCACCCTTTGGTAATAACTTGTTTCTTCTAAATGTTCAACTTTCATAATGTGGCGGAAGTTAGAAGGAGGATGTAAGTTATGAGAGTTGAGATGTGTTAGGACGGGTCCCACTTGTGTCGAGAGGTGTGAGGACGGGTCCCACTTGTGTCGAGACTGTGAGGTAGACAGTGTTGTCCTGGGTCTAGGGTGGTTCATGCTACAGGTGTCGTCGTGCAAACACAGCGAGGTGGACAGGTCAGTCAACCTCTAGATATTCAGTTAAAATTTAGATATATTAGGACAGTCAGGCTCAGAAATACTGGAACAGTCAACTTTAGATATCCTAAAACAGTCAACCTTAGATATCCTGGAACATTTAACCCTAAACATCTTGGAATAGTCAACTCTAGACATCCTAGAACAGTCAACCTTAGAAATCCAAGAATGCTAAATGAGCTTTATGCAAATTTAACAAGTAGAAGCAGAACAGAAAGAGAAGTAGCAAGAGCAGTAAGAGTGATAGTAATAGAACTTTAGTGAACCTTAACATGTAACAGCTCAGTGTCCTGAAAGGGAACGAGAGTGTTCTCAAATGTTATAAATTGTCTTCATCCTGGTTTAGATCTACAATGGTCACAAGGAAAAGTCTGGGTAAAACCCTAGACCAATGGAACTGTCAGGGGTATACAAGCAGACATTTGTCACATATTGTTGTCTAATATATAGTCAAGATGTCCGGCCCGTTCCTTCTTTGATCATCAGAACGTTCGAACACTGACCGAGGGGGAACAGTAAACTCGGTGACTTGGAGGCTGGAAGTATTAGGAGCACTGGGTCATGTAGGCCTATAGTGATCCAGGAGGCTTGCAGACGAGGAGTCACAATAACGTGGCTGAAGTATGTTGACCAGACCACACACTAGAAGGTGAAGGGACGACGACGTTTCGGTCCGTCCTGGACCATTCTCAAGTCGATTGTGATGGAGATTGCATTCACAACGTCGTCATCCCTTCACCTTCTAGTGTGTGGTCTGGTCAACATCCAGGGGGCTTACAGTAATTGCTCTGCAATATTAGAGGTGAGAATCAAACCTGAAATTGGCCAGGTGAGGAGAGGGCGTGGTTTTGTCCTTCACTGGGCAGTACAATGACCTCAGAACGGGGAAAGACTATGTAATTTTAGGGGGAAAAATCAAGGGAAGTGTGGGGGCATTGGTCGGAAATGGGGAGCACTCCTCCAATGTGTTCTTGTATATTACGTCCGCCAGGGATCTAGGTAAACCTGTTCCTTGTTTATATATAATTAATTATATATTGTGTTTTTGTTAGGATTTTCCAATAGCATGTCTTAATCTGATTAATAAAATTATGTTAATGTCCTAAATCAACTGGAGTATTAGCTGCAGTTGTCCTGTCTATTACTGAAGGTACGGTGCCTAGTCACTCCGTCCCATTACCGTCCCCTTGTTTCATTGCCTGGTTATTTACTAGCCATATCCTCCTTCCTGAGTTATATGCTATTGTTCAAGGATCATTGAGGTGGTGATCATATGCTCGTCTGTCAGACATATGGCTTAACACACCTTCCAGCACGGCTAGGTTCTCACAGCAGGGCTAGGTCCTCACAGCACAGCTGGGTCCTCACAGCACAGCTGGGTCCTCACAGCACAGCTGAGTCCTAACAGCACAGCTGGGTCCTAACAGCACAGCTGGGTCCTCACAGCACAGCTGGGTCCTCACAGCACAGCTGGGTCCTCACAGCACAGCTGAGTCCTAACAGCACAGCTGGGTCCTAACAGCACAGCTGGGTCCTCACAGCACAGCTGGGTCCTCACAAGACAGCTGGGTCCTCACAGCACAGCTGGGTCCTCACAGCACAGCTGGGTCCTCACAGCACAGCTGGGTCCTCACAAGACAGCTGGGTCCTCACAGCACAGCTGGGTCATCACAAGACAGCTGGGTCCTCACAGCACAGCTGGGTCATCACAGCACAGCTGGGTCATCACAAGACAGCTGGGTCCTCACAGCACAGCTGGGTCATCACAAGACAGCTGGGTCCTCACAACAGGGCCCAGCCCAGCGGGAAGCCAGTTATGTATATCACAGGTTCTTGTCTTTGACGACTGGAGTGACGGGCAGACTAGTCACTTCAGACCTGAGGACCTGAGGAACACGGCGTGAGGAACACGGCCTGAGGGACACGGCATGAGGGACACGGCCTGAGGGACACGGCGTGACGGACACGGCCTGAGGAACACGGCCTGAGGAACACGGCGTGAGGGACACGTTATATCAGGAAACTCGGTCAAGACAACCGGTTGGCAGCCAAACCTTGGTCGTGGCAGTAAACACTTCGTAGCTATTGACATAAATTGGTATTTAATAATTTTCCAACATACCCGCGCCGCAACATATCCGCGCCGCAACATACCCGCGCCGCAACATACCCGCGCCGCAACATACCCGCGCCGCAACATATCCGCGCCGCAACATACCAGCGCCGCGACATACCAGCGCCGCAACCTACCCGCGCCGCAACCTACCCGCGCCGTAACATACCCGCGCCGCAACATACCAGCCCCGCAACATACCCGCGCCGCAACATACCAGCGCCGCAACATACCCGCGCCGTAACATACCCGCGCCGCAACATACCCGCGCCGCAACATACCCGCGCCGCAACCTACCCGCGCCGTAACATACCCGCGCCGCAACATACCAGCGCCGCAACATACCCGCGCCGCAACATACCAGCGCCGCAACATACCCGCGCCGCAACATACCCGCGCCGCAACATACCCGCGCCGTAACATACCCGCGCCGCAACATATCCGTGCTGCTATAACAAAGGAACTTCAGTCACCCCTATAACGTAGCAACTGCTCTATAAGGTTCTTATATAACCTATATATATATATATATATATATATATATATATATATATATATATATATATATATATATATATATATATATATATAACCTATAACTTATATAACTTATAACCAGTTATAAGGTGGTGACCACCTCCACTGTGGTGTTGTGGAGGTGTTGTCCACACCGGGTCACACCGGTGTTGTGGAGGTGTTGTCCACACCGGGTCACACCGGTGTTGTGGAGGTGTTGTCCACACCGGGTCACACCGGTGTTGTGGAGGTGTTGTCC